CCGCAGCCCCCGAGTGGCGTCAGCACGCCCGCCGGGCGTGGGCTTTAAATGCCCACTAGCTGGAGCTCAGGCGCTTCTGCCCTGGAGCGCGGTCTGTAGTAAAATCGCTGTAGTGGGAGGGGAGTGAGCCAGCGGGATTTCGAGCCGCGGAGCGCGCTGACCTCGCTCCGCCTGATGACTCCGGAGCTCGGGTCCAAGCACCGCCCATGCAGCACCCCTGAGCTCCGGGGAAGGAGAGTTAATGAAAAAACACTTAACCTTCTCCGCTGCGGAGAGTCATGAGCTGTCTGGATGTTATGTACCAAGTCTATGGTCCTCCGCAGCCCTACTTCGCAGCCGCCTACACCCCCTACCACCAGGTACGTGTCTCCTCCGGGGATTTTGGGGAAGAGTGGCGCGCCCCTGGCTTGCGGCGGCACGGCCTATACGGGAAGGTCCGCTGCGCCTCCGCGCGTCTCGGGCGTCCGACCAGGGCGGCCGCGGCTGGGATGCGGGGATTGCCGGAGCCGCCCCCAGTTGGTAGTGCAATTAGCTAACCCCTTTAGCTCGCCTGTTTGCTCTCGGGAAGCAGCTAAGCCCTGCTAATGTGAGCCTAGGTCTTCCCTGGAATAATCAGAGGAAGATGGCACGGGCTGGATTTTCTTCTTAGGGTCTGCCGGACTCCAGATTCTTCCAAGCCAGGTGCAGGTACCAGGAAATGCAGGCAAAGCCGACGCAAGGAAAACCAAACTTTGGTCCCAATGGTGAAAGTAACAACAAAACCAAAAGCAAAGGTCAGCCTCTTTCTGAGATGCAAGGGCCAGTGTTCTCATCCTTGCAAGTTCGTCTCAGGAATAATTTCTTCCGTTTCAATTCTCTGGCGACCAGGGCAATTAATTCCAGATCCAGCGAATTCGTTTGAAAGAGCACCACGCAGTTTTATAATTCTTCCTTTGCGAAGTTCTGGGAGTATTTTCCGGAGTGCGATTAACCCAGCAGAGGCGAGCTTGATAGACAATACTTTGCCTTTGTCCAGCCTAAGTAGCTGAATGGGGAAGTCCTGCTCCCAACTAACACTTTAAGAAGACCACTCAACCTGGCTTCTGCAAACTCTTCAAGTTCCATTTAATTCTGCCAATTTCTCTTTTCTTCAGGCAGCGTCTGTTTGAACCATTTTCCTTCCATTTCCTCAGCTGAGGTAGCAGAAACTGAGGACAGTAGTGCAGGAAAAGAATGAAATCATACACCTGGGAGGCAGTAGGGGGTCCCCTCAGGGTTGGAAACCTACTTTGGGGAAATTGAAATACACCCCAATGCCCCAGTGGATGCTTTTGCTAATTTTGTGTGCAAATTTAAAATGTCTATTCGGAAATTTCCCGATGAATTAATGATGGACCGGGTAGGGCTTTTTTTTTTTTTTTTTTTTTCCCTCCTCTTCTCTTCTTTTAAACTTCACAACTTGCAGTTTGTTTTGCCTCCTTGTTAATTTTAGGAATCACCAGAGTTACTCATTGTAGGGGAAGATAGCATTTAGGAAGTGGTGATATTGCTAAATCTTACATCGTTTTGGCCCCAAATAACTCAAACGTTTTGGCTCCAGCTTCTGAAATGTACTTCTTCCCAGGGTGGGACTATGGCAAGCCAAGAGGAGAGAGGTGGATTGGTTTTCTGACTGGCCCTTTCTCCTCCCAGACCCTGAACCAATCTATTGCATGAAGATCTCTGTTCATTTTTGTATGATTCGGGCCGCCTCTTCAAGGTCATCTCTGCCTGCAGAATGTTTTAACACTTCTTTCAGTCCGTTGCTCATTTCTAAGAAAATGTTCACAGAAGCTGCGCTTGCTTTTTAAAATCACTATCAGACCTGACGATTTACACCACCTCACAGCCAGGATCTTAACTTTCTTCTGTCTGCTCCTTTTTATCATTTCCTCAATGTGTATGGAGATGATGGGGTGGAAATACTCATAATCCACTGGTCTTTCCTTATTAAAGAGAAGACCTGTTTAAAAACTGATGTAGGGGTCATCAAACAAATATCAACTTGCATTTATTAAAATGACCCGTATTTCCCCAGTCATGTTACCCCAGATTTTTACCCCACACAATTCATTACTAAATGTAAAATTTCTTCCTTTATATTTCTGGTTGTCTTCCTTCACACATCCGCAGTTGCAGGGAGTGGATTTTGTCGGGGTAGGGGGTTGCCCCCGCTCCTATTTCCTCAGGAGGATGTTTATCCTGTATCCTGTGCTTCTGCCCTGGATTCTCAGGCACGGAACAGTCAGGTTCTAACTGGACTTGGGTGCCCTTTACCCTTGGAGTCTGATTTTAAAAATATATCTGCCCTGAGCCCAGCTATGAGGTCAAACTCAGCTCCAAACCTATCTGCTTAGGCGTCTCCTGAGACCTTCACCCAGACATTTTAGGAGAAATTTCCAGGAGTCAGAGGGACCAAGGACAGCAATCTTCCTTTAAGGAAGCTCGCCCTTGCTTGGGTGCAGGTTGGGAGGCCTGCTAACTAAGTTGCCCCACTATTGCTAGTTTTATGCAAACAGCACAAGGCTTAGGCCCGTATGCCAGTTTCCCCATGAATACCTTAGGGATTAGATTGAGGGAGTTAGTCTGAACCGAATTTGCCATCGCTTTTGAAACTGACATCTCTGTTCATTCTCTCTCTGAACAGAAACTAGCCTATTACTCCAAAATGCAGGAAGCCCAGGAGTGCAATGCCAGCCCCAGCAGCAGTGGCAGCGGCAGCTCCTCATTTTCCAGCCAAACCCCAGCCAGTATAAAAGAGGAAGAAGGCAGCCCAGAGAAAGAGCGCCCACCAGAGGCAGAGTACATCAACTCCCGCTGCGTCCTCTTCACTTATTTCCAGGGGGACATCAGCTCCGTGGTAGATGAACATTTCAGCAGGGCCCTGAGTCAACCCAGTAGCTACTCTCCCAGCTGTACCAGCAGCAAAACACCAAGGAGCTCTGGGCCCTGGCGAGGTGAGTATGGGGCCCTGCTGGGAACGACCCATAGAGGGTTCTTTCAGCCTGGGGTTCACCTACAGGAGCCTAAAGATATGCAGCTGAAAGAATATTAGGTGTCAGAGAAGGTGTGCAGAGGAGCATTTGGAAAGGGTAAGGAAAACGCAGGGGTAAAGGGCATGGGTATAAGAAAAAAACTCCTTGAAAAAAACACTACGCTTGGAATTGGAAGACCTAGGTTTGTGTGTTGGTTCCACCACTTCCTAGCAATATAACCTTGGACAAGTCTTTTAACCTCTTTGAGATCACTTTATTTACTGCTTTCTTTAATTAGAATAACACTTACCCTCCTAACGATCCCCAGAGAAGGCTGTAAGACCAACAAGAAAATGGATGTAAATATGCTGTCAAAAATGTGAGGTTTCTAGCACCCTCCCAAACCAGTGAGCAAAGGAGCTTTATCGCCAAGAACACTTTCCCAATTTGCAAACATTTTCCCAGAGGAAACAGTTCTAGAGCTCCATACAGACAAAACCTCCTTGAGAATGTCTCCAAAAACCTACCTTTGCCTTTCACCAGGCTCCAATTACTTGAGAACTCTTGAAGCAGAAGCATCTCAATAGCAAGTAAAATAACAAAGAAACAAAAATTTAGATACAGCCAAAACACTTCTAAGAGTTTTCCCAAAACACATCCCCTTTTTATTTTTCTACCTTCCCCCACAAAACACTGCTTTTTCTACCCTAGGACAATTATTTGTTGGACAACTCAACTAAATCTCCCTTCTATTCTGAAATCTCAACTTCCCTTTATTACCAACAAGACAAAGTGGGGGAACCATTAAGTAAACTTGGCTCACTAAGCGGTATTTGATGTGTACCAAGGGGAGAAAGGAGGACTTTGTTGTAAAAACCAAAACATTTTCATTTCTCTTTGGGAGGGAAATGACAACCTTCACCCCCCTTTTTTTTTTCCTTAGAGACTCTGGCAGTTTGCATAAGCCTTGCCCTTAGACAAGATCCAAAAAACATTCATTTTAAATACAGAACATTCTTTTTATTCTCTGTCTAAATATGTTTAACAGGAAGATTCTTCACCACTTAGAATGCATTTTCAAATCATTTAAATTCTCTAGTATATAGTGCAGATGCCTTCTACAGAGGAGGTATTCCATAAAGGCTCCATGAATTACATATCTGTCTTTCTCTCCCTTCTTACTAATGGCAACAAATTTGATCTAAATGCTGTTCTCTTAAAATGCTATCACCGGCTAGGAACCAACAGTGAAACTGACAATAGTAATAATGATTATTATTATCCCCGGCGTCCTTGCTTTGATGCAGAAAGTTAATGAAAACTTAGAATAAAAGACCTGTCTATTCGTGTCCTTCTGTGCAAATAATAGAGCTGCCCTTTAAGGTGACTAGTTTACTCTTTTGCTTGAGTTCTTGGAGAAAAATATTTGAAAGAAGGTTTCTAGAAAGAAAACTAATAATAGCAGGACTTCAAAATATGTCGATGGACTTTCAGTCTGTCAGAGACGTTGTGGGGGGGCACATTTTCCGGAGCAAGACGGCTGAAACGCGAGAGGGGGTAGTGAGATCACTAGGCGGCCGACCAAGAGTGGGAAGAGGTCTCTTTAGCTTGAGGAGACGTTAAGGCTGGGAAAGGGAGACCGTGTCTGCGCTGAGTCTCGGGAAGCTCCTTGAGCTTCAAGGACTTGAGTCGGGGAAGGAGTCTCTCCTCTGTTACTACTCTCCCCGCCACTTGGTTTCCGCACTGAGGACCAGGCTGCGAAATGGGAGAAAGTAGGCCTCCTCCTCAGAGGGTTCCCAGAAGCCCCCGTTTTGCAGTTCCCCCATCTCGCTTTCACAGGCTGCAGCCCCCTCAGAAAAATGCCGCTGCAGAGGCGGGGGCGGCCCATCCGCCCCCGACCATGGCTAGCTAGCCCTGTGCCCGCCTGGCGCCTTCGGCTCTCGGGCGGGGCGTGCAGGTCGGCCCTGATTCCAGCCGCAGTGACACGCACCTCTCTTCCTTTCCTCCAATCCGCCTCCCCGGCCTACAGACTGCTCCTTCCCGATGAGCCAGCGCAGCTTCCCTGCCTCCTTCTGGAACAGCGCGTACCAGGCGCCGGTGCCCGCGCCGCTGGGTAGCCCTCTGGCCACCGCGCACTCGGAGCTG